TAATTGATCTTCAATTTTCTTTCTATTTTTTCCTCTGTTTTTTAGTCAAATCATTTAGATAGATCGCCTGAATTGTATCAAGAAAATGTAATAAAAAGTAGTAAATTCATTCAAGTTTTACAATTATTTTTTATGTTAATGTATCATCGAATGTATCAACAAAAATTTAGTCGAATTTGGATCATGGATCATTCAAGAGATTGCAAGGAATAACTTGCAAAAATGTCGACTGTATATGGACCAACGGTGGGGTAAAGAGGTCGTATGTTTCTTCCAAGGGATGCAGAATAAGGGGCGGAAAGATAGCTTTTTACAACGCGTTTTCTTTCCACCACTCGTTTACCAGGATAGTGAAGATGGTAGGGATGGTAGGGAGACATTTTTTGTACCGGTATCATAGTCTGAGGAGGGGCATGCATGTTCTACATTCTACATACACAGCTAGCACATAGTTACTTAGGTAGAAAAAATGATAAAACTTGCCTGTTAGAGGATGTTATGACGTTCAATCGTCGGATAATTTGAGAATATTGTTCATAGGAATTTCCGAGAATTTCACATAATTAGCAGTCAATTGGAATATAATTATGAGTATTACAATAAGGAAAATATATTGTTCACTTGTTTTGGAAATTCGATATTTAAAAACAAGTCGTGTGTTACTTTTGTGTTCTAATATCAATTGCTACAAAAAGCCATTGATATCAAAATTTCCACACTACTTTGTAATATAATTTTCTTTCTGATTATGTTCATCAGTGAGATTAATTGAACAAGTTAATATTTCCCAATCAGGCGGGGAACCAGTATTTCGCGCGTTGTTTTGTACTTACAATCGTTCGTAATTCTACAGATCCGAGAGCTTTTGACTTTACTTTTCCACATATTCGACAGCCATTAAATTTTTAGCGAAACGTAAATCGAATGCTCAGAATGGTAAGTACATTATTTATCTTGGTGCAGGAACTGAGAATTGAAGAGTGCAAGAATTCGACATTTACGTACCTATTGTGGTTAACGCGGTAGTGTTCATCGTTCCTTACGTTGCCTGGAACCGGTGGGGGAATCGATGGAAAAGTGGGGTTAACCACACGTGAATGTGGCGATAGTGGGGGTAATATTGCACGTTGCGTAGCCGAGTAGAGGGGGCACAGCGCTGACACGTAGTGGAATCACTCGATGGCCGGCAATGTGCACCGCGTCATCGTTCCAAGTGTCTTGCTGCTGCTTTTCAAAGTGTTAGCGCGACTTCTCTCTCATTTTATTTGTCTCGCTTCAGTTTAATAACAATACTAATTCAAACATACATACGCATACGCATTCAACACGTTTACACAAGTACTACGTTAGAAAAAGACAATCGGTGTTTCTGTAAGATGAATATCGAGCTATTAACTTTTATTCGTAGAAAGTTAGACTGATTTACACGATTCGCGAGCATTCCAAGTGTCATTATCGATTTCATTGACACGCGATACACGAGAATATAACTTATATACCTTCTTCTGTCGTTTTCTCACTTCTCTTACGTATTAAAAATGCTTCCCTCGCTTAATCGTTAATCTTTCGTTTCGAACATTCACTTCGATTGACATTCGCTTGTTTCATCGATTTTCACCGATTTCGGTCGACGATGTCGAGATACAATCACCCGACTCGTTCGAACGATTCTCACTAACGATTGCACGTGATCCTCCTATACCTGTGCCGATAGATACAATGACAATATAAATGCATACGTTCCTCGATGCTTTCGAACGCGGCAAACATTGTTGTTCGAGTGCAGTGAGTGGGTATCGCGGGAGGTAACGCCTCGGTGCGATCCTCCCGGGGAGGAAAAGAACGAAAAGTGGAGTTGACAGGAGAAAATGGAGAGTCGCGTGCTTGGAGCAACGCCGGAGGAGACGACAGCGGCGGTAACGACAAGCTGCGGTATTGGTACATCCTCTCCAGTGGCAACGGCGCCGATCAACGCGGTTCCTGGTGTCGGTGGTGCTAGCGCTCTGACTTCAGCCACTTGCACCATACAGAATCCTGTGGTCGTGGTGGCGAGCCCGCCAACTAAACACCAGCAGTCTGCTACCGTGCTGTCCACTATCCCTACTGTCCCTGCTGTTCCATCCGTTTCCGGTGTCACCGCGGTCACCGCTGCTGTACCCAAGATACTTAGCAGAAACGTCAACGGCACGCGTAAGTCTCCACTTAAATTTTTATCGCCTTTCTATGTTAAAATCGTACATTTTACAGATGTATCCACTTAAATAGATCTTCTTATACAAATGTTGCTAGAGGTTAGTTATCTTAATTTTCTTCCGAAGAGGAATGGTAGGAAATTTAGGTTAGGTTTCTGTTTGGTAATATCTTCAAGGGCAGTGTCAATGATTAGAATAGTAATGATATTAGTTAATTTAATAATTGATACAATTTCTGATGTAATTTAAGATCGCATTGATATCTTATTTGTGTTGACACACAAACAGACAATTCTCTTGTCTTATAAAAACAATTTCATTGGTACGTGCAACAAAACTTTTTGAAAACTGGCTCTTACCGATTTGGTCAGTGTGTAAAACAAAAGGCCTATTGATCTCTTCTTGCAATTCGTGTAAATGTGAATTGTTATTTAATCGAGAGATACGTATTCATTAGGATTTATGTATTTTCTCAGTTTTGACTTTTATTTGTTACTCTTAAGTTTGCTCTAAAAAGTTTAATCCTTTTTAAACTAGTAGATGCTTTTTTGAAAAGTTATTGATCACGAAAAAAGAAACCCGGATTTTAAATTAATTTTCACAATTTATCAAGAATATAATTATCGATAAAAAACATATAATTACTTGTACATATAGATATTGATATCAGTGTAGGTATTATAAAATTCGCCAGAAAATACGATCTGTTAATAATAATTACGGATAGTACAAAAACGATTAAAAATAATCCACTAATTTATCGTCATAATGATCCAACTGTGTATCACGACCGTTTCGATTATTTTGTTCTTTGCTCAACCCGATATTAAATATCTGCGATTTCCTCGTTGAAAACCATCCATTTTTAACGTGCTTAGAAGATACACGTATACACAGAGAGCACATATACACAGAGTGTGTATGTATGGCTTTGTGTCTACTGCGGATAGGAGAGGCATGACTCAGGAAACGGATAAAAAGCGTCGCGCCGCGCAAAAAGACGCTTTTTCTTCCGCCATCGGTGAGCAACTATTGCGAGAACGGTTTTTGTCACTTTCTTACAAGACGAAACAGCCAACGGAGGATAGAACAGCATAGAAGGTGAGCGCGAGCGCGCCACAGTTGACCATTGCAGACTAAATGGTAAAAAAGCGGTGCGCGTTTGGTTTCGCGGTTTTGCCCGACGTTTCTCCGAAAGTTGAAATTGCGAGACAGAGAGAAAGAGAGAGAGAGAGAGAGAGGATATCTCTTGAAGACGGCAGTTGGTCTACTGGCTGCAAATGGCTGCATCTCCTTTTTCTCATTCCCTTTCTCTTCCTCTCCTCCCCTGTCTTTTTCTCAATTTCTGTTCCGTCTTTTTTCTCTCCCCCCCTCCCCCCTCCAATCTTATATCTTGCCTAGTGTCGAAACATCAAGGAGAATCATTAGATACTGCTTTGTAGTTTCCAAACACTTAACACGAATGTTAAAAGAGAACGAATTCGTCTCTATTAAAAGAAAA